ATCAGCTGGCATTAAGTCCAGGCTTCTACTCAAATGTGTTTGTAGTACCAAATCTACAGGTGGCGGGCAGACTGAATCAGTATGTGCTCCTCGATCGGTCAATCGATGGAGATGCCATTCAGCGCTCTTCTCTTCATCCATCGTTTTGACTGGCTAGCCCTACTAGACATAAGCGGAGCCTACCTGCACATACCGATGCACCCAGCGAATTGCCATCGGGTGCCCCCCCGTTCGGGTTATGCACAGCGCCCTACATGTTCACCAGAGTGATGAAACAGGTAGTGCTGCTGCTTTACCAAATGTCGGTACACCTCAATCCGTACCTAGACGACTGGTTACTACACAACCGGGACAAGGGGTTAATAGCCAAACACATCACTTGATGAATAAAATTTTTCATTTGCACTCGTTTTCGAGGGGGGTGCTCGGGGAAGCGCCCACCCCTAAAAAAATCACGATTTTCTGAGTTGAGGCCCCTGGGCGCTAACGCGGTACTTCACCAGTTGGGCTCTTTAGTAAATCGACAAGTCCCATCTCGACCCAACGCACAGTTGCTGTTCCTGGGTATGGAGGTAAGCTTGGTATAGCTATTTCAAGCGTGTTGCTTAGCGCTAAGCAGCCGAGCCGAACGCCTAGTCAGCGTTCCCTCAGTGTTCCTCCGAGAACTAATGTGGATCATCGGAATGATGACCTCGGTTTGAAGGGTGGTTTCCCAGGCCGCACTACACACTACACAGTCGCCCGGTACAACGCTTGTTGTTACAACGCTGAGCTCTCCTATGGGACTACGGGATTGTTCAGTTACTTCGGCCTAGGGGGGGGGGGGGTCGGCAGATTCCATTTTGCCAGCTGTAAATCTTTTAAATATTTTAAAACTTAAAACATGCTGACCCCCCCTAAAAAAAACAAAGAAACATTAACAGTTTTGGCTCTGACATGATTACAAAATGTATTATATGTGCATGGTTTGCCATAATTTTGACATAATTTTTAGCGTTTGCATTTAATAGACCTTAGGAGGGAAGGGGAAGCATAAAGACAAAAAATGACTACAGAAAAAGCTGCAGGAAGGAGGGAAATCTATGCTGCTAAATATAGTAAATAAAAACAAAGCTGTGGAGTACTCACTCGATAAACACCCTTATAAAGATAGGAAAAGAGGATTTGAATCTAGGTGGTTTGAACTCTTTGAAAACTAAGTTGGATTTAAAATATCTTTCATATCTTATAGACCAGGAAATCTTTACACCCGAAGCACAGTCTGTGCTTATGAAAACAAAGGAAACTTTGATTTTTGCTTAAATTTGTGTTGGATTTTGCTATTTTACAGAGCAAAATATGCATATTTAAAAGATAAAAAAACAAAAAAACTATTTATTTATTTTTTCATCATTTATTTTAATTTATATATCAGCATTTTCACAAATTTAACTTTTTTGATTTGCTGAACAAAACTGTCATTGCTCTTTGTACTAATTGCTGTGTTGTCTTTCCGTCTCCTGTTATAATTGGATAAATCCAGTAAATATCTTATACAATGGTGACTTCAGACTTCAAATAAAATAATCTGATATCAGCAGCACATGGACTTGGGATGTGTTTAAAACTTAACTGTATAATTGGGGTTCTAGCCGCATTGCATATTCTGTTAGTTATTTGGCAACTTTAACCTCAAAATATTTAGCCTATAACATTTTTTGCATCAACAAATTTATAGGCAATATAGGTAATAGTTATTAAGAACACATTTGTATGATTAACTTTTTTATCGTTTGTTCTGAAATAACATTTAAAAAAATATATGCATGAGCGCGTGTGTGAATTCTGGAAAACATGATATCAAAAACAGGGTGACCCCCCTATTCACACAATCAAAAACAGGGTAACCCCCCTACTGATCCACTAGGCCGAAGTAACTGACCAATCCCTAGATTGGCGAGTTTTGATCTCGACCAAGTGAAGGAAGCCCTGCCCTGGTGGTCGTCACTGGCCAACCTCGGACAGGGGGCCCCTTTGGACCCACTTGCAGCAGGTATGACTCATGCTGCAAGTAATTTTCAAAATGGAAACAAATAATCAGATATATATATATATATACATATATGTAAGATTTTTTTCATAAATAGGGCTTTCCTATTCAGGTTTATCCCCTATATAGCTGAGAGATCAGTTTCTTTATTTCTGTTTTGTTTAAAGTAATAATATTATGATTGCTTCGTGGATAAGTACTGCATGATGTTTATAATAGTTCAACAGTTATTGACGCCCACATTACCTGTAGCTAACATAGTAATTTGGTACATAACTTCAGTGCAAAACTTGGTTCTCTTCTAGTGAAAAACATTAATCATTATTAATTTATATATGGGTATGCGAGGCATAATATTTTAGTGAAAATCACAGTCCAGTAGACCGAATTCACCATCTGAAACAAATTCACAGAAACACACTCTATTACTTAGCATAGTAATAGTATATTTAATTTGACATGAAATCATATAGTTAATACATAATTTTTGGCATTGAACGTAGCTCCAAAAATATACACTAGTTAAAAATTCTTCCTAAAAAAAGAGCCCAATATAAAACATAATCATAGTTTCTACACGTTCACAATGTGACTACCCTGGTGTGGCTGGGAGGGTAGTAGAAATGTATGACCAAGTTAAAGCAAGGTGGTCGTTATGTGAATAAACAATGTATTTTACATGCGTTGTATACGTTGCTATGAGTCCCATACCAAAGGTAAATGTCTAAACTCGTACTGTTTTTTTTTAAACTAAAGCTGTAACTTCACACTGAACCTCCGACTGTACATGCTCAGCCTTGTGTATGGCGATGGTTTTTCAATGAAAATGCAAACATTGTTGCACTATCATAATACATGTATTACTCCCTTCGCTTTGCTTAGGTGTTACCAGTAGTACCCTATACACAGAGGTCATCTAAATGCTTGGCCTACTGCTAGTGTGTGGGTGTCACAGCTTAAAAGCATAGGTGTATCTAAGATTAATTAGGTATGCGGTAATTAATTTAATTAATTCTGTTTTTGAGTACTGCCAGGTGGTTGCATAATTAATAGATCATCTTTCTGTAAACAGGTGGTTTTCATTTTGGACCAGAAATCTTGGTAGCAAAGCCTTATTTGGATGTCATATGACAACAAAAGACAGACATTATCTTGAAATAGAGGAACCGGTGGTAATTGTCTCCAATCACCAAAGTTCGTTAGATCAATTCAGTAAGTATTATAATTAATAAAGTGCTGATTTCCCAGATGCATATATAGACAATCCAAACTTGTTTCCCAGTGTGTCTGCCTACTTACCTGTGTGCATGTCTGTCTGCCTGCTTACCTGTGTGTATGTCTGTCTGCCTGCTTACCTACCTGTGTGTATGTTTGTCTGCCTACTTACTTGTGTGTATGTCTGTCTGCCTACTTACCTGTGTGTATGTCTGTCTGCTTACCTACCTGTGTGTGTCTGTCTGCCTGCTTACCTATGTGTATGTCTGTCTGCCTGCTTACCTGTGTGTATGTCTGTTAGACTGCTTACCTGTGTGTATGTCTGTCTGCCTGCTTACCTACCTGTGTGTATGTTTGTCTGCCTACTTACCTACCTGTGTGTATGTTTGTCTGCCTACTTACCTGTGTGTATGTCTGTCTGCCTACTTACCTGTGTGTATGTCTGTCTGCCTACCTACCTGTGTGTGTCTGTCTGCCTGCTTACCTGTGTGTATGTCTGTCTGCCTGCTTACCTGTGTGTATGTCTGTCTGCCTGCTTACCTGTGTGTATGTCTGTCTGCCTGCTTACCTGTGTGTGTGTATGTCTGTCTGCTTACCTGTGTGTGTGTATGTCTGTCTGCTTACCTGTGTGTGTATGTCTGTCTGCTTACCTGTGTGTGTATGTCTGCCTGCTTACCTGTGTGTGTATGTCTGCCTGCTTACCTGTGTGTATGTATGTCTGCCTGCTTACCTGTGTGTATGTCTGTCTGCCTGCTTACCTGTGTGTATGTCTGTCAGACTGCTTACCTGTGTGTGTGTATGTCTGCCTGCTTACTTGTGTGTATGTATGTCTGTTTGCTTACCTGTGTGTATGTCTGTCTGCCTGCTTACCTGTGTGTACTTGGATTGCTATATGTTGCGAGGACAAAAATACAGATATATAGCTACTTCCGAGGACATACACACCTTCCGAGGACCTTTTTCATAGTCCTCGGAAAACATAATTTATATTAATAGTTAATTCGATTATTATTACGTTTTGCGTAGCTTAGGTTTAGTATCGGGGGAAGGTATGGTT